TCTTTAGAGCTTTGTCCACTCATATTTTAAATAACTCAGGCAAATGAGAGTAAAGCACCATCAACGGCAGAAGAATATGTCAAGGTCCACTAAGCTGAACTGTTACACCATTTACCTAAACCTAAATATATGATTTTCTTTGCTAATTTTATTTCTATTACACCTGCTTATTGCAATTTTAACTCTCATAAACTTCCTAAAGTTTTTTTTATAAATTAGTGTCTCCAGGAGCCAAGGTGGCTATCAAAGTCACCTTAGTAGCTTTTGGCTATATAATAAATAAAAAGATAATATATTATGTTTATATAGAATATTTTATATTTTATACTATATATAAAATATTAATATATTTTTATTAATTATAATTATGTAATATATAATATATAAAAATAAAAATATAATGGACATTTCTGTAAGAAGACTATTTCATGGTAATACTTGGTTGACTGATTGATTTTTGCTCTGTGTAAAACCCTTAGAGAGGTTGGAAATTTTAAATTCTGATTCTTGCCTATTTAATTTGTTTTGACATTAATGAAAAAAGAACTTAATAAATAAATGCAAAAATGTTTTTTACATGAATACATATATATGTGTAATGCCCTGGTGTAAGTGTGATACCAGTCATAATTAATTTTTAAAAACATTTCTATCTAGTCCCCACTGAAGGCTGACCAAATGCAGTGCCTTGTACATTTGCAATATGTTAGGTGATAATAGAAAAAAACCCAGGAACACAGTTAAGCCTCACCGAGGTTTATTTTCAGTTAAATTCAAATAGGATTTATCAATTAAGGAAGTGCTCTGTGGTGTAGTAGGTGCATGTCAATAAAAGTATTTTTGATTGAACATAATTCTACTTAATGCACCAAATTTCCAAACAATTTTATTTGGTAATATTATTCAAAACCTAGGGTAATTGTTTCCAGATATAAAAATAACTTCGAATTAAATTAGGAGTGGGCCAAATATCAGTTGTTTGTAAGTTAATTTTTCTATTGTAGCAACCTTAAACTTGGGAATGGTCATGACTAAATTATAAATGTTATATTACTCATTTTGTTAAGACATACTCATGTGATATCTGTTTCTGATTTTTTTTTTTTGTATATATACAAAATCAAGGGGGAAGGCCACATACTGCTGTCTGTAGTTTCCCAAAACCATTTTACAAAGTAAATAGAGCAGTTTTGTTGGAGGGAGGGCTCAGTGCCTGACTAGGTCAGGTGCAGAAGTAGTTTAACCACGACAACACTCACATTGCAGCCATTGGCTTTGCAGGTTACATACAGTTGAACAGAGACCTTTCCTCTGACTAAGACAGTCATTTCTGTCTGTAGGAGCAGATGCATTTAGCTGTGTCAGTTTAACTTTATCGGTTTAAAAGAAAATGAGTTTAAATTAGTATTTGCTTTTAGTGGTAGCAAATCATGGACGAAATTCATCTTGTTTTCCCAGCCACTCCAGCTAGTCATCTAAAAGATGCCACCTTTGCCTACAAACCTGGTCCTTTCACCTTCTCAGCTACAACAAAGTCCCATTACAACTAGAAAACATTTTTGCTTGATACAGCTCAAGGCTGTAGGGGTGATTTTCCAATTTCAGTTGGAGACATTACACTTTATCTTCTACAGTGTAGGGGCTGTACATTAGTTGATTTCCATTCCACCAACCTAGCACTGGAAAAAGAAATATCTTACTTTTGCCAAAATAAATGGGAGTATAAAAAGGAGAGAAAAGAATTGGATGTCTTGTTAAATATTCACAGAAAAGAGAGGTTCATATGTCAAAGACAATAACTTTACACTACATGGGGGATTTTTGTGTATCCTCCTCTACTTACTTGCAATGTATTGTGTTCTTCTGTTTGGTCACTCACCATGTTTTGAAGTTCAGTTGTCATTAGTGTTGAAAAGCACTTTTGATGGTTCTTTACTGCTGATTTGCTACAAGTTCTTTAGTCACAGAACCCAGACTTAGATGGTAATGGGTTTACTGCATGTATCCTTGTTAAATTACTACCAGACTTTCCAAGAATAGCAGTGTATTCTGATTTTTGTGGTCAAATGCAAAGAGGAAGAAAAGCTGTTGAGCAATGCAAACATTTTCTTAGCTGAAACCTGTGGCTTAAAGTATTCTGCTCATACAACAGAAGTGTGTGTACTCAAGACTTCTAAAAGAACTACAAGGATGAAATAGCAAAGCTCCTTGCTGCACTGTGTAATCTGTCACTTAAACCTGCCTGACTACCACAGGATTGCTTGGCAGAGATATCTCAAAAAAAATGCTTTAGGGAAGATCAGAAAAGTATGAACCAGTAAAGCTGGTGTCTGCATAAGGCAAGTTAATAATAATATAGAATGCGATTAGTGAACATGTGAATAAATATGACATATCCAGGAAGAGCTGACACAGCTCTTGTGGAGTGAGGTGGTGCTTCGTGATCGTATCAGAATGCTTTGAAGTCAGGAAGGAGTAAAGAAGACATGGTTGATGCAGTCTGTTGGGATTTCCAGAAACCGTTTCCCACAAGGGAAGGTGGTTTCTGAAAGAGATGATGTCTGAACTGCAGGATTCCTTGCCACAGGGTGTTATGGAGCCTAAAAGACTTTGGGGGTTATAAGACTGATTAGGTGAACTTACCAAAGTACAGAGCCATAAAATAAACTCAGTTCAGAAAATTCCTGGCCATACTTTTTTTCATGTGAGGAAAGTGTTCTGGGAAGGTATTGTTACATTTTCACCTGTTCTTATGGCCTTTCTTTATTTCCCTCTGCTGAATGCTGATAGAAACTGAATAGTGTGTCTTTTCACTAGCACGGAGTGTTTTTGTGAGGGTGCAGTTGCGCACATAGAAATTGTCAGAAAATATGGTCATTGGTGTTTTAAAGTGGCACACCCTCTGTGATTGATAGATGAATTGTTTTAATATATGACTACAGTATAACATTGTACACTCTTGTCAAAATATTTGTTTTTCAAGAAAGGTGTCTGCTAACTGGGGACAGATTTTGTTGCTTTGATCTGATGATCTTTAATGGCACTTCATAGAAATATTCTCTGTTGATTTTCTTCTCTTTATCAGTTTTACATGAAGCATTAAAAATAACAAAATATGGTTGTAACTTTAAAAACACTAGCAAAAGTATTCAAATGCAAATAGTATTTGACATCGTGTTTAACTGGCATTATCTAATGTAATGGAAGGTTTTCAGTATTTCCCTATTTCAGGTCTATAACATTTTGTGTGGGGGTACAATAATTATAATTTCTATAGCTTTTCCTAATGCAAAATATATGCAGAAAGTTTCTGACTCTCTGTAATTTTTATGATAGCGATATACTAAGAGGTGTCTGTAAAAAGAGTATAAAAGGTTTTCCTATACATATATTTACATTTTTGCAAACTTAGGACTTGTTTTCTAGAGATGTACTGGGAAGAGAACAGGGAATTGTTATTGCCCTACAAAAATCAATGAAACCATAGTGAAACTACAGATATGATTGTATCATAGGTTCAGTGCATCAGTTACAAAATCCAGTTATACTGCCCTTTTTGGTGAACTGCTGCAAGAAAGAAATTATGCACTACTGCACCTTCAACAGTTACTGAGAATGTATTTGGCCTCTTTTGGCTGATTTTGTTTGCTAATTGAGTCCACCTAAATATTTATAAATAACCAAATTACCCTTACTGCTGTCTATCATCACTACAGTCCTTTGCAGAAACACTGGAAAGTCAGATGGGTTCTTTTTTTCTGTTTCTAAATCTTAGTTATATGCTGATTAGCCAAGACTGACATCTTGTATATCAAGAGCTACCAGCTCTTCATAACTCCTCTTTTTTTTTTTCCCTGACATTTGGGAATGTAGCAGGAATAGCAGCCCGCAGCTGCTGAAAAATCATCTATTTAAACATATATGCATTATTTGGGTTAAGTCACTCATTCATCTTCCTTTTCAGCAACTGCATTATAACTAGAACTAAAAACTGTGAACATCCTCCCCCTTGACTACATGCAGGTGACTGACTTCTACACCAGAAACCTTGGCCTTTTTTCCTAAGCTGAGATTTTAGCTGCTAAAAGATGTTACTCATTGCTGTTACTAAATCCCATCTTGACTTTCTGGGCCCATATTTCCTGAAAAGTATTCTAGTCCGTGGTGACCAGGGTGCTCATGATTTGTATCCTGTGTGTCATTGTCATGTCGTGACAAAACTTTCCCAGCCTGTTCATATCCCTCATGGTTTCTCCTACCTACCTTTTTTCAACCCATTCAGAAGTTCCAGATTCTCTTTCCTTTCCTTTTCTAAAGGTTCAGGTTTTTCTTTTAATTCCTCGTGACCCTTTTAACTCTTATTGATTTTTTTGTTGGAAAAGTGTTTGTGAAGAAAACATGAAAGTGAGACATACCATTGTTCTTACATCATCAATATGAAAAATGCAATTTTATAATATTATTATAAAATGTATGACAAAAGATTACTTCAGAGTTTTCTAAACCCACCTTTTTTTTATTTACTCAGAAAATGTCCTGTTACTCTCAGTGCTGTTTTTGTAATATTATTTTACTGGGCAGAAAACCAGTATTAATTGTATAAAATCAGTTATTTTCTCTGAAAACTGAGGTAGAATTGATTTTATGCTATATTTATTTCAATTACATTAATTGATCCCTGATACTTCTGGAAAAAAGTAATTAAAAGAATTTGTATAGAATATATTTGGTAATTGATCTATTTATCTTGATTCATAGATAGAAAAATAGATAGAAAAATTCATAGATAGAAAAAACAGTAATACCTGTTTATCTATGTTTGTATGTGTTTGCACTTGTGTATGTTCCTAACTTGAAGAGAATTCTGAAATATAGGTCCTTTACAAGGTACATGAAAAACTGCTTTTCAGAATTTATTTTCCACATTATTCAGTGCGTACAGGAAACTGCTCTTACCATCTCTACCAGCTGTATATTTCAATCCTTTAATATCTTTACAGCTCTGATAGCCATTGGGCGGTACAGCATGACAATAGAGACAGTGGATGTTGGATGGTGCAAGGAGATCACGGACCGTGGAGCCACTCAGATTGCACAGCGCAGCAAGTCTCTCAGATATTTAGGACTCATGAGGTGTGATCAGGTAAGAGGCATTTGCATGAGCTGGTTCCTCTTTCTGAGTGTGTGTGAGAGTGTTCATGTGTGTGAGTAAGTGAGGGAGGCAGGGAGGTTTGGTTTTATGTACGAACTGGTTTGGTATTTACTACTCTAGTAACTCTTTTCAGTGTATTCTGTTCACATATTTAGCCAAGAGAACAGAACTAAAGGGAGCATTATAAATTTTTCTGACACAGATTTTCAAAATACACCCACAGGCTACACCCACAGCCTGAGGTGCTCACAAAGGTTTCTGTAAAATCTGCCCTCTGACGGTTTTGAATATTTTTGTCTAAAAGTGATTAGTATGTCGTGTTATTATTACAACAGAGTACTTTGTTTTTTAAAAAGGAAGGGGAGGGGAACCTTTAACATTACTTCCAGAGTGATTTAGAGATTTTCTGTCATATGTCTGTGCTCTTGCTCGTGTGTAATGGTTTTGAAAACAGAACAACAAAGATTTGCATAAAACCATAATGCTAAACAGAGGAAAAAATACTGAGTTTATTATAAACAGCTTTCCTACATGGAATATATTAAGAATGTCTGTAAGTTTTAGCACTTTATCATTAGAAGAAAAGAGGACAAGGCAGTCCAGCTCCACCTCACCTTGTATATAGCCTTCGGGAAGCAGGTCCCTGTTTACAGAAGAGAGATCAAGAGGTCCTCATTGGAGGTCCAGAGTCTCTGGTCATAAGTCTTCAAATACACCTGCAGGGATTTATTCTTTTCCAGCCATCATCAATGAAATGTCCAGCTTGTGATGCCCATCGTAGGCATGTCTCTCAGGCTTGTGGATTTCTGATTGGATACAGCCTATGGAAAAGCAGGTTTCAATCTAAGAAACTTGATGCTCAACACCATTACCTTGCATCCCTCACATTGCATTACAGAAGACAATGACAGAACCCAGTATCTCAAATAGCAAGGAATAATAATGTCCAGGTCACTTGTAGAGTTAGAAACAGCATTTTGCAAAGCCAGCCTTAGGCAGTTTCCAGTTTGAGAGAAGGTTGAGCACTTTGGAAGAATTGCTCTGTCTATCAAAGCTGAGTCCACTTAATCTCCTAAACATTAGTGTTTTATAAGAACCAATAGACAAAAGGAGTATGTGAGTCTCTTTGATAGATTGTGCTAAGATTATGTTCTCAGAAAATGTTCAAAGGATAACTTGACCTTGGGAATTAGATCTGACCCCGAATCACCAAATCACTTCTACACTTATATTTGTTTTGTGAATTTAGCTAATGTTGAACAGTCGACAAGGATCTAACAAGTGCAATAATTTTATCCTGTCTTCAGCTGCTATAGAAAATCAATGATCTTGATGCTGAGAACAACTTTACTACTTCATAAGCTAACCTATATGTACTACAGTCTGTATTCCTCTAATTGGTGGTTAATGCTTTTCTAGTTCTTTAGAGGGGAGTATACACCATCTTTTGTGTTATGAAAGGCAACTGCTGAAAGGAAAACAAAATTTTTTTAGAAAGCTTCAAGGAAGATAGAAAAGTAATGTTGACTGTGTGCATGCAGGTGTGTGTGTGTGCATTAGCAATTATTTAAAGTATAGCAGTTAGAACATGTTAAGAAATGAGTAAATACTGTTACAGCAAACACTGTGGTAGTGGGACTACCACTGGGAATTATTTTCTTGCTTGCAATGGCTTGATGGGAAGAATAGCTCCACAGACAGAATGAAATAAGTATCCTTGACTTAAGGGTTTTTTGGCAGCTGGAAGATGCCAACTCCCTTTTTCCACTGCAAACGAACAGAGAAATTACTGAACAAAATGATGTCCTCAACTGTCTCTCCCCAGAATCATGCAGAACTAATTTTTTCCAGTGGCTGCTCTATTAAATTAAAAATGTCAGTGCCCAGCACATCATTAAAGAGAATTCTTGGGTGGTGCAGAAGGGTTTATTTACATGCCCCATTGACTGAAATTCTTGTCTTTGTACTGTTGTCAGCTTGCAGCATAGAGAGGGTTAGAAGATTTGTCCCTTCCTTTTCTAAGGTACTGACTGTTATGCTAGTACCAGGTAGCTTTTATGCCTTTCTAGGAATTCCCAGGCATTGGAGGGGAAGTACTTAAACAGTTACGTAAGGAACATATGTAAGTAGACTTCAAATGGGTACCACTAAAATACTCTTTATGAGCCAGGCTCTTTGGAATTTCTTTGATACCCACTTGACATAAATTAGAGGCATCAAGGGTCCTCCCAAGAAAGATCAAGAGAGGCTGCAAGCCTGGGTAAAGGCAGGCTCTGTTTTATGCCATTGATTATCCGAGTGCCTCCAGGCAATGTGTTTCAGTAGATGCAGAACATTATTGATCCACACCATGAAAATAATCAAATTATTCATTTTTCATTAAACTGCTATTGCCATGACCTTTCTTTTTATCATTTTTCCTGCCACCTAACATGCACATCACAGGAGCAATATGATCTTTGCCTTAAAATAGATGACATTGTGTTGAGAAATCTCATAAAAAAAAGCTGACCTTAGCATGAGGTCATCATAATGGGGGCACATATTTCAGTTGGAAGTGTATCAGATAGGATATGTCTGAGATGCTATGATTGAGACCTCCAAAGGTATTAAAGCGTTCAGAAAATAGACCCTAAACATTTTTAAGTGCATATATTTTGGGCAATGAAATTCCCCTGTTGCCTGCATACCAACATCAACACGTACTGAAAAGCAGCTAGGACCCTTCTTCTCCCTTTTGATCTCTCTCACTGTACAGGGTATCAACTCTGTGCAAATATGTGTGCATGGGTCTGCGCAGGTGCTTGGGACTGCACAAGTCATGTGTATCATAAAAAGAAAATGTTGTCATTTTGAGTCTTCATTTCTTTTGAAAGCAGTAAGAGATAAAATCAGTAGTTATTTAAGGCCTAAGGAGGAAGGACATTTTAAAGGTTAATAATTGGAAAAGGCATAAAAGACACCATATTTCTATTTTGCATTCTGGGGTTACTGCCTGTGTTTGTGCCCTGCTCTGCTCCCAGTGGCAGTGAGCCAGGATTCATTCCTTCATGTCGCCTCTTCCCAGTGCTCTGGCGGCACACGGAAACCACAAGCTCCTCAGTTTCTCTGCAGAGTGTTGTGCTTTTGGGGCTACAGTCCGAGGTTGTATTTTAGGACTTGATGTGGGTATTTGGAAACACATAATGGCTTTGTGTACAATTTGTCTGATTTTCCTGATTTGTCACTCACTAAATACCAAGAAAACCACAGATTTATCTCTCTAGGAAGGAGTTCTATTCAGTTCACCTCAGTTTAGTTCCCCTATAGCAGAAAAAGAATATAACTATCTGTTCTTCCAACCAAATTTTAATTTGTATTTTATATCACGACTTAGAAAAGTGTGTATTTTAAAGTAGAATTCATCCTTCCCTTTAAATATTTGAAATACCTTGGGAGACGTGGGCAGTTACAGGATACTTCTTTCCTCCTACAAACACTGACATCAGAATTCCTAAGAACTTTACTTGTATCCTGAGGGCATAAAATGATGCCTACATCAGAAAACAGATTTAAATGCAAGTTTCAAACTTCTTTTTATGAACACATTTCTATACATTCCTACCCCTAAACTGTGCTATGTCCTATTTACTTATTGTAGTTACTTAATAAATTATTTTGAAATATTTTGTATTTCACTTTTTTTTTTAAATGGAGGAAGAAGATGATGTTCTCTATACTGTTTATTGCTAGAATTCATTTGAAAGATGTGTTTGTGGCACTTCTTTCTTGTGCTCTCACAAGTGAAACAGCTTTAATAATGGCAGCTTGAAATCTTCACCCTTGGGGAAGATGGCTGGGTATCAATTAGGAGATAGGGGCTAAAAACTTGATCAGTTTTTGTGGGTAGTAGCTTTACTGGTTGAACAATGTGTCAGAATAATCTTCACAAAACTTTTCTCACACAGATTTTCATATTTCAAGATCCTTTTCCTATAACTGTGGTGCTGTTTGCAATGGTTATCAGCAGTGCTGCCATGTAAATGTAGGAAACATTTCTTGGGGAAATATGCAGAAAAATGTCACTAAAAAACAGAGGCCACAAAATTCAACATTCATCACTATGTGTGAATGAAATGAAGAGAGTCTGACGAAGTTGGCTCTGAATGGATACACAACTTAGTTAATAAATCATGTTAGCCTTTATTCCTTGCTTTCTTCTTTTTTGTCTTTACTTTTTTCTTTTTTTTTTCTTTTCTGAGATGAATTTCACAAAAAAAGACATGGTTGCTTTTCATGAAAATACTTCTGAAAGCCTGTAGCTTATTCCAGATGACTTTCTCAGATGAATTGTGGCATGTATTTCCTATTCAAGTTTTACTGACATATTAGAGCACAGAAATTGATGGTCAGTACAACTGACAAAAAGACAAACTCTTTTATGTTACCACAGAGAGGAAGGAAGATAAATGATCCCTAAAAATAAAAATGATCTGTTAAGAAATCATTTGCATCTTCAGTAACCATAAGATTTTTAGAAAATCAGTAGAGTTTTAATGTAACTTATTACTTTGTCCTTCTATAAAACCTTTTTTAGAAATATTTGTAAATATATATTCTTTGCAGACTGCAAATCAGTAGCCTAACTGGGATGCAACTCCTGTTGTTTATGAGAAATGTTTTTACCCTTCACTCACAGATTTTAATTTACATGGCTAATCTGTAACTGAAGGTAAGTGGAAAAGAGATAATATTCTAAGTTCTAGAGATACATCTTTAAATTTCAAATGCACTTTTGAGCTAAACTCTTCTTAATCCATGGTAGAACAGTGAGAGTACAAAGCCATGGCTTGTTTTAATATAATTATCATAGCAATTTGCCTTCCACCTTCAGAAAATGCTATCATTAACCTGATAAGAAAACCTGACAAATTACTACCATTTCTTCTTTTATATTTAAGGGGTTCATTTTGAGATTTAAAATTATGGTTTTGTAATTTGAAGAGGAATGA